TTATGAATGTTACACCCTCTTACTTATCTGACTGTGTGCTGAATTTTCGTACAATGCTAAGACGTTAAACTAAATATTTCTCTACCGCTGGGAATACTCCAAGACGCAACAACTTATCTTTTGGTTCTACTAAATATGAAATTGTAATGCCGACAATGATAAATTTTCACTTTTAAATTTCGAAAAAAAAATCAGATTTTTTGCGCTATGTGATTGGCAATACGCCACGATGCCACATGAGCGATCACATGCAGCTTATCCAAAGTGAACATAAATATCCGACAGTTCGTACAATTTTACACTCATAATATATTTTTAAAATTAAAAGTAATTGTAATCACTTTTTGCAGAAGTTGAAAAAATTTTCTTTTATTGCTTTATCCTACGCACGTTTTAAACGAGGGAATCTTATTCATTGCAAAAAATAAACTTCAGCCCTTACAATTTGTTTTTTTAATATTTTATTATCTTATCTATGTTAGTATTAAAAAATGAACTTATAATTTCAACAAAATTAAATTTTTATTTTTAAATTTCAAAAAATAAAAAAATCTTCCTACCATCTTGTATTTCATTTTATTATTTAGGTCACCTCTTGATACGACATTACAAAATCATCTTAATCGGGCACGAATCTCGAGGCAAAAACTAGTTGGGAGCTTCAAAACTCAAAATAGAAAAGATTTTTTTTTCTTTGATACTTTAAAAGTTAAATTTTAACTAAACTTATATTTAAATTTCCAATTCCATATCTACTTCCGATATAAATATATGCTTTAAATTATTAATATAATTTCTCATTTTTTATTAATTTTGCAAATAAAAATTAACTGTATTTTATTTTTTTATTGATAGTTGTTGTGTCCTGGAGCATTCGCACCATAGAAAAATCTAAAGTTTAAAGTCTTAGCTTCATACGAAGATCCAGCACGCACACATGAAAAAAGAGGGTGCAATATTTATAGGAGATCCCAATATTTTTATGTGAATTCCTGAAAAAGAGGAAAAAATCACGGGGCCTAACATAGTTTTCATGAATCAACTAGTATTTGCAGTTGATTACAAATGAGGCCCTTTATTAGGGGGAAAGCCTTGGCTAGATGTAACAAATATACATCATACAGATTGTGTTACATGATGAAAACAAGAAGAATCATTGTTGATGTGTTTGTTTGTCAGAAGGGTCATTGTCGGTGGGCGATGGAAGTCGGAAAGACCATAGTCGGCTGGCGACGGAGGTTGGAAGGATCGTAGTCGGCGGGCGACAAAGGTCATAAATAATATTTTTTTGGCAACGAAGGTCGGAAGGACGGCATCGGGTATAATTCCAGCAATAGATAGAAGTCCAGTATCAGATAGAAGTTTGACGATTGTCTGACGATTGCGTGCAGAAGTCTGGCGTTGGGTAGAATTCCGACGTCGGGTAGAAGTTCGATGAAAGTCCGGTGACTGGCACAAGTTTGGTGTAGGGTAGGAATCTAGCGACGGACAGAAGTCTGGTGTCAGGTAGGAATCCGGTGATGGGCGAAAATTCGATGTTGGGTAGAAGTTTGTTAATTGATAGAAGTACGGCATTTGATAAAAGTCTGAAAAGTCTGGCAATGAACATAAGTATGGCGTCAGGTAGAAATTTGGTGACGGGCGGAAGTCTGACATCCAGCAGAAGTTTGACGAAAGTCTGGCGACAGACAAAAGTCTGGCGTCGGGTAAAAATCTAATGACGAGCGGAGGTCTGCCGTCAGGTAGAAGTCCGACGTCAGTCAGTGGCCGGGCAGAATTCCGACGTCGATAGGCTGCCGGTTGAAAGTCTGGCGGTGGTCGAGGATGAGTCTCTTCTCTTCTTGCTTGTGCGTCCTTCTTCCTCTCCTTTTGGGTCCCTCTTTATGAGAATTAAGATGTTTATTTATAGTTTTCTAAGAGTGGTATGACCAATAAATAAGGAAGAGTGGCAAGTTGAGAGTGGTTTGAATGGACGGCTGATGTTGAATCCCTTGATCATGGATCATTTATTTGGCTTTTTGATTGTCTTAATGATGTTGGAATTCTGTGATCTTGGGCTTGTTGGATTCTTCTCATCGATCCGCTCGATTTGATTATAAGCATGCCATATTTGGAAATTGTTTGGTAATCCAAATTAGGGATTGAACCTTCCAAATGTGCTTTGGGGCTTTGATTTGGATCCCTTTGGGCTTGGATTGAGTCAAACTTGGTCTTGTTGGATTCATATTTCCAAGACGCTCAATTCGACCGTAAGTTTACTTAAATCAAAGTTCAAATGATCCCGGATTTAATTTTTGAAGTTTCCAACTTGATTTTTTGCCTCGAGATTCGTGTCTGATTAAGATACTTTTTTGATCATATATCAATATTTTTTCATAGAAGAGTAATTATATATATATATATATATATATATAATATTAATTATCACCAAAATTTTAACGGGTAGAGCATAAACCATGATGAATAGTAAATAGTAATGCATCCATTCAATTAGAAGAGCCATGGGCTGATCCACCTTAAGGCGAGTGGGGACAATCATAATTATAATTAAATTTTCTGTAAAAAGTGGAAGTTCCTTTCATAAATAATAAAATAAATTCAAAAAAATAGAATTTGTTTATGCCATTAAATTATGTGTTTACATTTCTCCTTAAATAGCATCTCAAGACTTGCCAACAAGATTTTATTTGAGATTGACTTTTTTTTATGCTGTTTACATAAGTTTTTTTAATTAAAAAAATTAATTTTTATACTAAGTAGTTGCTTTAAAAAATAATATGAAAGTCATCCCAAACGAAGCCAAAGCCACTAATATTATTCGGCGGAATATTTTTAATTGAACATATAATAATATGAAAGTTGTTTGCAGCGATAACAAATACTACGAATGTGCAACGGTTTTGAAAATTTAAATAGTTGGTGTTTTAACTGTTGCTATAGGTATAAAAAGTACAGAGAAAGCTTATTTTAAATCTTTGCTCTCCAAAGAGAGATTATTACCTATAGTCATCGGCTTGTCTAGAGGCGAATCATGGCGTGCCTTGTCACCGATACACAGAATTGATGCATAGAAAAAAAAATGAGGTGATGTATCGTGATTCATTTCAATGTCTAATGATAGCATGTTATAATTTTACTTTGGAGGACGAAAAGAAGTGGTTTGCGCTATGTGATTGGCAATACACCACTATGCCACAGGAGCAATCACATGCCGCGTGTCCAAACTGCACATAAAAATCTTAAAAAGCAGATCATCCCGGTTAGGGGATAACCCGGTCGACCTAGCATGCTACCCATACCATTAGCACGGGCCAACACATAAGGCGGTCACGAATTGCCAAGGGATTCGAACTGAATACCTGGCCTTTGGCCAGTTAGTTCTTCACCACCAAAACAACCCGCGGTGGGTGCACATAAAAATCTGATTCGTACAATCTTATACGCAAAATATATTTTTTAAATTTAAAGTATTTGTAATAAACTGTATGCAATCACTTTTGCAGAAGTTGACAAATATTCTTTTATTGCTTTTGCTTCACACTGTTTTTTTTTTTGGGAAATTTTGTGGTAGGGCCCATATCATTGATAAAAAAAAAATACAAGTAATAAAAAAAAGAGCAAAATATAATCCAAAATCTCAAACATAAGAGATTGAGGATTCTAAACAACCAAAAAACTACAATAGAAAACAAAACAAAATGGCTAGTAAATGAGGGAATCTTATTCATTGCATAAAATAAACATCAGCCCTCATAATTTATTTTATTTATATTTTGTTATCTTATTTATGTTATTATTAAAAAATGAACTTATAATTAAAATTAAATTTTCTTTTTTTAATTTCAAAAATAAAAAATCTTCATATCATCTTGTAATTAATTTTATTATTTAGGTCACCTCTCATAATAAAAAGGATTTTTTTTCGTTGTAGTGAAACTTTAAAAGTTAAATTTTTACTAAATTTATATTTAAATTACCAATTCCATATCTACTTTCGATATAAATATATGTTTTAAAATATTAATATAACTTATAATTTTCTATTTATTTTGCAAATAAAAAATTAACTGTTAGATATTTATTTACTGAATATTTTTTCTTGAGGATATTAAATATCACCAATTTTTGAACATGTAGAGTATAAACATTGCTGAATAGTGAATAGTACCTTAGTCTATTGATTGAGAATTTAGGCTATCAACTAAGAGGTCTTGAATTCGAGTCTTGTGTATGTGAAGTGTGTATGAATTTGCCTTAATTAGCCTAAATATTTAAAAAAAACATCCGTTCAATCATAAAAGCCCTATGACCCTAAAAAAAAATAAATAGAAAAAGAGCCCTACGACCCTTCTTCTTTCAACATTTCTTCATTTTTATGATTATAGAAATTAAGAAAATGATAATTATTATTAAATTTTCTTTAAAAGTTTGAAGTTCCATTCATAAATAATAAAATAAATTCAAAAAATAGAATTTGTTTATCCCATTAAATTATGTGTTTACATTTCTCCTTAAATAACATGTCTCAGGACTTTCCAACAATATTTTATTTGAGATGCTTTTTAATTTTTTTTTTGTTAAAAATTTTAATTTTTTATTAAAGAACTGTTTTAAAAAAATAATATGAAAGCCATCCCAAAAGAAACCAAAGCCATTAACATTAGGAGAATATTTTTAATTGAACCTACATATAATTGAAGCATTAGTATTTTTAGACGAACATCTGTGAGATGATGGTAGGTGTAAGAAGAACTCAATCACATGATTCTGACGGAAAAATTATTATGTGCAATCACGTTTGGAGGCGAATCCTGATTCGCCTTTGGATAACGTCCAGTAACTGCACATAATAATTTGTCCGACGAGACGAGAGTGGACAAAAATCATGAATTTGATTGGATCGATTTCATCTTTTAATCTGTTTATTTCATTTTCAAAATTTAGAGTCTAACAAAGTAAATCATGTAGTTATTTCTAATTTCCTTGCTGTTCCCCATAGCTCTCCACTATAAAAAGAATCCCACCCAACCCATTAAAACCAAGCAAGCAAACTCTCTACTTAATTAACCATGGCTTTCTTCTCCATGATCAAGATCCTTCTCCTCTGCGTCGCATCCCTCTCAGCACTCCTTCTCGCCACCCCTGTCTCAGGCCAGAGCCCCAGCTACTTGCTCAGCGGTAACCGCATCGATGCAGGACGTTTCATTAAAGATAATTTATACTATTTTACCATCCAATATGATTGCAACCTCGTCCTCCTGTATGTTCGTAATATCTTATGGTCTTCGGGCACCGATAATAAAGGTTCTGGCTGCTACGTCTCCCTTGAGAGTAACGGCAACCTCATTATCTATGACAATCAAGATCAGGTCGTATGGGAGAGCGGAACTAACGGAGCAGAAGGAAGATATATCCTCATACTACTCAGGTCCGGTAATTCCGCTCATGTTGAATTGTTTGGCCCAAGCATTTGGGATACTCAGCCGGCCGGCAAAGTTGTCGTCGCCACAGCACTTAATGGGACAATGGGGGTTTCACGCAAAGAGCAGAACAAGGCGAGGAAAATGGGGAAAATTATGGAGGTTATGAGTGATGAATAGTCTGGGTTATTTATTTTATGTTTATTAATGAATAATGAATAAGACAAGCAAGCATACATGCATGCATGTGAATGCTGGATGAATGGGTTTATTATTATCTAAAACATGTTTCTAATTTCCTTGCTCTGTGTGTGTTCTTATCGTTGAAATAAAATGGCAGATTTTGATATTAGTGATTTGAATGGACGGCCGATGTTGAATCCCTTGATTTTGGATCATTTGCTGGGCATTCAAATGTATTATTGATATTATAATTTAGTGATCTTGTACTCGTTGGATTCATCTCATCGAGCTGCTCGATTTGACTATAAGCATGTCACGTTTCGAAACCGTTTGATAATCCAAATTATGTTTTGAACCTTCCAAATATGATTCGGGTCTTTGATTTGAACTCATTTGGGCTCGGATTGAGTCGAATTTGGTGTCTTTGGGTTCCTATTTTTGAGACGTTCAGTTTAACTATAAGTTTGCTGAAATTAGAGTTCGTATGGTCTCCAATTTAATTTTGAAGTTTCCAACTTGATTTTTCCTTTAGATTCGTGCCCAATCAAGATAATTTTTTGATGATATATCAGTTGACATATTTTTTCGGAGGTCGAATCTCCAGAAGTCCAAGAATGCTTGTCACAATAGTTCAAATTGATGGAACTGTAGAAAATGACGGAAAATTAAGTTTCAAAACATTTAAAATTGCTCGAAATGGATTATAGAAGCTTCATTGAACTCCAAAAGTGTTAAAATTGCATCTGGAACGTAGAAAAATGGTTTTTGAAAATAAAAAAATGTTAGATATGAACTGTTCGGGTCCCAAAATCGGGTTTGAGCCCGATTTGGGGGTTGAACAAAAAATTAAAACTTAAAAATAGAAAAATAAATAGTTAAATTAGAATTTATTTGACAAGTTGTTTATTTATAAATATACAATTTAATTAAAATTTATATATATAATTCATAAAAAAATGAAAATAAAAAAAAGCAATAAACCACTATGACTATGCTGATTTTTTTATTTCCGTTTTCCGTTTTAGGCCAGTCGTTGCTATGCTAATGACTAGAATCATATTTAGGTTCCTAATTAATTATTATAAGATTTTCTTTTAAAAATTTTTGTCCCTTCTTGGTTTCAGCAAAAAGAAAAATTTCAAACTAAGTATCTTGTTATTTTAATTTATGCAATTAAACAACAGAAAAAAAATTAAAATCTTCAAAATTGCCCTTTTAATGGGCGACTTATGTTTAAGTAAGTCGCCCGTTTCGACACAGGATGTTAATAATATTATATTGCCAAGTAAAATGAATGATTATGTGATGAAATTATTGTCAACATCGCTATGCAAATTATTATGATTGATTAGATTTATTTAATTAAAAAAAACAGTGAATGCAAATTGTTAAATGCTAAAGAAATATGATTGGGTATGAGACAATATAATATATATATATATATATATATAGTATATATATATATATATATATAATATATATATATACTATATATATATATATATATATATATAATGCAAATGCAAATAGGATATAAGAAAAAGTTGGTTCTTTGTGGCAATGTCAATATAAATTAGAAGTGCTTCTATCTTAAGAAAATAATTCACATAATATTTGAATGTTTAGACTAAGCATATGAGGGATAGAGATAAAATGGGAAGATAATTTGTAAATCATATGTTCTCTTTAATTAATTTGAAATTATAGAAAACCTAATTAACCCATCGAAGAGAGAAATGATTCATCAAATGTTTGGAGGGAAAGAACCCTCGTCAAAGTACAACCTTTTCAAAAACTTCAATTTCATCCCCCACTATCTGTTGGGGTTTTCTTAGCCATTCGTTGCAGCTATGCCGTCGTGCACTGTGGCTCTTGTCGCTACCCTTCTCTCCTTAGCTTTCCTCTCCAACGTTTGAGGGTGTCAGCCCCAGAGATCCCTCGTCCTCTTCTAGGGTTTGCCCCAGCCTTTCATCGCGGTACTACCACGGTGCATTGTGGCTCGCCTTATGGTCTCCGCTTTCAGGGAAGTTATCTTCATCCTTGATTCTTTTCTCTACATTTCCTGTTGTTTGTTTTGGGGGTTTTCTAGCGTGTTTTCCTCATTCAGTCGTTCTTCGACTGAATGGGGGCTAATAGGCCAATTGATCCAGGCTTTTTAAGTGGGCAATCAAAATCTCAATCATTCTTAAATGATCTATATGGATTGGCACCTTCAGTTTTTCCTGAGTTGAAAGTCCCTACCCATCATGGTTTACCCTCTTTATGGATTTTAGAGGAGGATCTAGCTACTATGGTGACACCTTTTGAGTTTGCTTTGGCTGGTAAATTTCCAAGATGTAGACCTACTCTTGACTCAATCATATAGTTTTCCTCAACCTCAATCTTAATAGTGGTTTCTCTGTTGTTGTGTTAAATCCTAAATACGTGAATCCTAAACACGTGTTGATAAAATTAGTGATTTTGACTATAGTAGAGTCTTTTCTCATCGTTCGTATTTTGTGAATAATTGCTACATGAAAATCCTCAAGTGTTCTCCTTTTTTATGCGAATGTGGAATACACTACTATCCCTATCTGGGTATCTTTCCATAACTTACGCCCCCACATATTTTCTCCATGTATCCTTCAGAGATTGTGATCTTTGTTTGGTCGACCTTTAAAATTTGATAATGCCACCTCTATCATTTTACGGCTCTTTGTTGCCCGTGTTCTGGTTGAGCTTGATATCACAAAAAGCTATTCTTATAAGGTGTGGGACAGCCTTGAAAATCTTGGGTACATTCAGCATTTTGGCATGGACGAGTTCCCATCCTTTTGTGGTGTTTATAAGGCTTTGTGCCGTTCCAAAGCCGATTGCTTCGTTTTGCATCCCCACTTTAATGATGTTCCTGTTAATATACCTAAGCCGCTAGCTAATGTTGATATAGCTACCACTTAAGCTTATTTTGAAGGGGTGTCATACTAATGCTCCTTTGAACACTATCGTGAATAATTTTAAGAATCATTTATTGATCAATGGTGGAGATGTGCATGATTGGCCCATCTGATGATGTTGGTTATTTGCCTATGAGGGAAATATGAATGTCTTGGATGTCATTCTTGCTAATGCTCCTATCTCCAATAATTTAATCATTTCTCCTATTGTGATTTTTTGATGAGCACCGTGTTTGTGAAACTTAGGGGATTATGCCCTCTATTTATGTTGGTTTGGGGCAACATGGAATTGCCAATGCTTTTGCCTTGTCGGAAATTGATTGTAATCCCTTAGTTTAGAATCATTCTATTGATAAAAAAATACCGATTGATCAAGTTATGTTGGAATGTGAAGTTAACCAGGTGAATGTGCTTGAGCCTTCTATGGAAACCACTAATTCCTTGGATCATAATGATCCGTCAATGTTGTCAAATAGAGTGGATGTAAATGATAAAATTCCTCATGTAGATGTTCCCATTTCGATCATTTCTAATGATGCTTTGCTTGCTAACTTATCATTGAAGCCGAAGCATACTTATTTGGTTCAATCTGATTGGTTAGCTGATTGTGACTCATCAACTAATTGGGATTTGGGGGAGAAAAATGAGGTTCCTGAGGAGGATTTTTAGGATCTATATGGCTTGAGTAATGCTCGAATCAATGATGAAGCCTTTTACAAGGCGGTTGGTAAATTATGCTGGAGAAAATGTAAAAAGAAATATTGTTTTTTCTTTTGTTTGTTTCTTCTTCCCTTGCTTGTTTCCAATGGCATCAATGAAACTTCCTTTGGTGTGGTACTTTGGGATTGGACTACTATTTGTTGTTATTGCTGCTATTGGATGCTTTTTATTGGCTGGAGAGATCGTTTTGATCAGATAATGATGTGGTAGGATTTCCTGCACGCCCCCTTATTCGACTTTGGCTTGCTTTGGCAACCTTGGTGGTTGATTCTCTCATTTTGGTAAGATAATGGTGGCCTTTATTTGGTATTTGGGACTTCTTGCTGCTTGATTCACCTGTGGTTATCCTCTATATGAAATTTGGGTTGCTGCCACCTAAGGGTGTCAATTTCGGGTTACAGGTCGGGTTCGGGTCGAACCCAAACTGACCTGGGTGGAAAACGGGTCGAAAATTCGAACTCGGACCCGACCCGGCGGGTTGCCGGGTTGACACGACCAGACCCGCGCGGCATAGAACGCGACAGCTGGCGACGGCGCGAGGTGCGAGGGCGGCAGCTTGCGGCAGCGCGAGCGCGAGCTCGAGCGCGGCACGTGACAGAGCGAGGCTTG